CCGTCCTCACAGATAAAAATTATGAATTTTAATAGTGATGTAAACATTCATTCACGTAAACTTGTATTTCATTTCACGCAACCGAGCAACTTTTATGCAATGTTGTTTACAACAATCGGATTTTGTATACAATATTTGCTACATTGCATGAAATGTGTCAGAACTTTACATGATATATAATGTAAACGTATATTATATGTGACGCTCCATTTATGTGCATCATACTAAATAGAAATTTACACTACTTTTTCCAACTGTGCTTGACTTGAAAATGTAAACACACAATCTCAATGGTCATAAGTGCAGGGTTGCCAAACTAATGGGTTACTGAGACTGATAGCTTGATTGTCACACTTCGGCACGTTCAGCAAAACGCTTGACCTAGCTTTCGGCACAGATAAAGTACTCGGCACAGATTGGGATGTGCAGAGTTGAATACCCCTTGATGCTTGTGGTTCATGCATTTTCAAAGTAAGTGATGTCCCTGAAAATCCAAAAAAACATCATGGGCAAAATTTCATGAACTGCTGTGACCGTTCGGCCCAAGCCTGTCCGATAGCAAAGATATTTAATTAACAAGATATCCCACTAATCAATTCCTCGAACAAGGCACTGGATACACCACCCTTATGTGATCGCTGTGCCATCTGGTGAATGCACATTGAAACTGTTGGGAGTCCAGCGCCAACTTCACCACCAGGGCTTATTAAATGACAGGTGTCAGTATGACATATGCCAGCGCGGACGTTGATGATCAGCCGTGGGAAGAGGATGATCGATGTCATCATCAATGTATACGTCTTTTTAATGCACCACCAACGTAGAGGGCACCACGCGAGTTCGAGAGGAAACGTCAACCATACCGTTTGTTTACATCAGAAGAAGGATTTTTCACAACGCAAATTTAAGTATTTTTTCATTGAACATCTTGCCAGTTTCCATCGGTAGTTGTCTTATTTTACGATTTTCCACACATCTGAACTGATTTGCACCTAAACTATTCGCACACAAGAAATCCGGAAGATCATAACCACTAAGGCACTATTGGAATTTTGCATTTTTCTCAACAAAAATATTCCTGAACACTAGTAGAATCCTTGCAAAAATGATACAGAATTAAATTTTTCAACTATAGATTAAGTTTTCGAGCATCTCAGATGAATCAATTTATCAGGAAAAGTGAAAAAGTGTTCCGCTTCCAATGTCTCATGGCAAAAATTTTCGCTCACAACACTCTTTTTGACGTTCTTATATTCACCATCAGAGGGTGAATCGATCGATTAGTTTCTATTAAAATTGCGTATTGCGATAGCAAGATTCTCACTTCTCATTACCACGTTCCCATCAGAAACGTTTGAGAAAACAATCACAAATCCAAGCTCACATCATGATGGGCTTGTAATATGTTTTGCTTTCGAGTGAACGAGTTTCCAATATCACCACCGGTATCAGTAAGATGTATTGTTTACAAATTCAGATACGTTCCTTCGAAAAAGTAATCGAGAATTGATGGTTTATGAAGCTAATGCTCAACATGATATTATAAGCATAGAAGTATACATGGAAAAACGCAACGTATCGAAATCATTGCTAAACAAACGTAATAAAAATACGCCGTCGCATTCTACTCAAAAATTACTTTGGAATATGGCTTACTTTTATTTTTTATAACGAAGGTATTGGTCAATGACAGCGAATTAAATCGTAAACTGAAGCTGCCAAAGCTGAGTGATGGAAGCAATGTCATCACTTGTGTTTTGATTTGCTCAGTAGTGTGGGTTCGTGTTCGTATATGTATAGATGATAGTGTGCGTGTTTTCTTCCAACGCTGCAGTTCGTATCGTTACAAACCTATTGGCGCTGTTATCTGTCTCTATAAATTCCACAGAGTAAAGGGGGTCTGCCGATAGTCAAAAAAGCCCCAGTAGGCAGTTTTTCTTTTATTTATTTCAGATTTGCTTTTATGCCTATGTTGGACTTTTGAGCTTTCAATTCTGGGCTCGCAAGTTATTAAAATCAGGCTTGATGGAGCCTCACTCGCGAGTTTGAAATGAGCCGAGCGTAGCATTTTTCTAAATCATTCCACTGAGCTTCAGAGCTTGTGAGCGAAGGAGAATAAAATGAGAGTGAGGTTTGCTGCCATTCATGTTCAAGTTTTCAATCAATCGCTCTTACTCTCACTCTGGGTGAACTCTGAGCTTCTTGCTTCGAACAAAAAAGTCATCCGGAGTCTCGAAAAGCGCACTTCAAGCACAGAGAACAGACGTTCAAGTTCGGTCAGAAACTTGTGTAAAGTTAAGAGGAAACGTCACCGTTACGTAGCGCTAGCACCTCCTGATTTCCTCTATAAATCTTCCACTTTCGACCAGTTCATCTAATTATCTGTTGAAAATTGCCACTTGGTGCTACCAGCACATAGTGTCTAGTGTAAGTTTTGCAACGCCAGCGCCATCATGTTGTCAAAGAGGGTTTTTTAAGTGGGGATGTCGCCGTTAGTGGCGCTTAAGTCGAATAGGAATTTTTACACAAGTTTTTAGAGAAATTTTGTTCGAGCCTCAACGTCTGTTCTCTGTGCTTCACGTCAAATCATCCTCTCGCTGAAGCTCACTCTCCTTCTCTCTCGAGGAGTTTTTGTTTACTTCTTCCTTATTGAGAAATCCAACTTAAACTCATGCGCGCCTGGTGGCAGGAATAAGCACTAACCGACGGTGATAAGTCTGTGACAGCCCTTGAAAATTTCATTGATTGTTTGCAAAATTATTTCATTTCAATGTTATTTCATGAAAATTTCTTGTCAGCATGGATGAATCTTGTACAAAATGCATAAAACTATTTTGCAATGCATTGTTCTTAAATAAAAAGCTACTTCAAGACTTATAAATTACTGAAAACATGTTAAGGTTTGAAATCATCTGCCGATTAAACAACAGACAAAGTTGGCCGACTCAATCAATCGACGAAAAACTATTAAATAGGCCGATTGCTCGGTGTAGCACCAGACGAAAAACGATTTAATCTGCTGATTAATACACCGACTGAAATTAATTTTTAAGTGACAATAGATTTAGTCAGTGGACGATTCGGGTGATTTGGATGATGTTTGTTTATTTGGAAGATATTTTCGAAACAAAGCACGATTAAATTCAGATGTACCATTATTACGAGTATAACTTTTTTGCTCGGATCATGTTTTGACTTCCACAGAAACTCGCTAGAATAAATAGAAAATAATAGTTTTTTGGTTGAAATTTCAAAAATGTATTCAGTTTGACACATTATTTCGAACTTATCACCGCTGCGATTGCAGCGTCACGGTGGTCGATTGAAACATGGATTTGTCAATTCCTGCCGCCTCTCACTCGAGGTAAGGGTTGGCTAAACTCGCAGGACAAGAGTGTTTTAAAACCTCCAGTGAGTTTGAGGAGTTTCATCAAGCCTGATTGAAATGTACGCACTAACCTGTTGAATGGATGCCAATTTATGGATTTCCATCTTTCAACAGCGTCACACCATGGCTCCTGGATCTTTTGAAATTTAGCACTGATCGGCCCATATTCCCCCTAGTCACTCGATCCCCTTTCTAAAGCCCCACCACCCATCAAAGTTCGCTAAAACGACGTCTTATTTACACCACCCATCGCTCGATTTGCGTTCAATTTCACCCTTCAGCGTAAGGCTTGTACCAATCCACCGTCCGTCCGAAAGTGGCAACCGGCAGCGCCAATCAGTGCGCGACCCTTGCCCGTATTTCCTTTCCCGGAGTTCATAATTTAATCAAGATGGCTGACATGGTGTTGAATGTTAGTCGGCAGTGCCTGCTGCAGAAAAAAGGGGCGATCTGGTGGTTGGTTGTGGAAAAGCTAAATTGACTGTGAAGAGCAACCGCTTCTCATGGCACGCATGGATGGGGATTCGGAGGGGGGTAGTAAAGCAAATAATGGGAAATTGTGTAGCGTAATATTTTTATTGCTTGTTCCGTGAGCGCGCGCGTTTGTTTGGGTTGAAAGTGCGGCAGTCGTTGGTTTTTAGCCAGGGGATGAAATGGGACATGCGCGGTGTGACTCACGATGTCCTTTTTATTAAGGAAAGTGGTGCCAAATAGGATCAATTTGGATTTTGTTCGGAATGTGATCATGACACAACGCAGCTGGCAACACTGTTCCAATAACAATTTCGCTTCAACTTTCGACACATTGCTGCAGATTTCCTAAATCGAGTTCCATCACGTATACTCGCCGTCCGGGCTCAGTACTTGAGCGGAAAGGATATAAAATATGCGACAAAATATAAATTGTTCCACTAAGGCAGATCTGCGTAGAAAAAAAAAAACGGGAAAGACATTTGGTGGAGGGAGAAAATAAATTGTTGGCACTTTGTCGAGCAAATACTCGATGCTGGAAAGCGTTTTGCGACGAGTAATACGAGTTATATGTTCCTCGCACTTCTGTGCGCTCAGGGCGTTCAGGATCAATTGAGGAGAATATGAAAATTCTCGTAAAACCACTTCCCTATTTGTGTGGGGTGGGATTGGATCGGCTCTCGGGGAATTTGGTGTGAGTTCAATTTTCGCAATCATTTCGGAGGGTTGGTTTATGAAGTGCGTGATGAGGGAAAGTAGGAAGATCATCATTCGCCACTGTGCAGCGTCGTCGACAGTTAATAAAAAGCGTATCAATTTTCGTAACGAATTTATTCATGAGATTTATAACGAGGTTATGAGCAGCAAGATAGGGGCGAGTTGAGAAAGATTGGTTTAATGTTTAGGGAGGGGCGGTTTGACGAATGACTTGCGTTATTAGCCATATATTTACAATAATTAATAGGCCAACTGTATCAAGAATAACTTATTTTGGGAAAGTCATGTTTTGTTACATCACAACAGGTTGATGAATGTTTCTGTATTCCAAACATTGAATCTTCTATATGAAAAAAAAAAACAAAAATCTGAAAAGTATCAAACGATTTACTGAAAATCTTGTTATCTTCCTCTCTCCCACCAGGTCAAGGTGTGGTTCCAAAACCGCCGGACGAAGCACAAGCGAATGCAACAGGAAGAAGATGCCAAATCGGGTGATGGCGGTGGCGGTGGAAGTGGCGGTGGTGGTGGTGGCGGCGGCGGCGGTAACCGTTCCTCAAGTCCCATTTATGACGAAGAAGACGATGACGAGCTGATCGACATGGATGAATGTGCTAGCGACGAGGAGCAGGAGCTTCTGCAACATCAGCAACAGCAGCAGCAGCAGCATCATCACTCGATGCATCCGCATCTGGCGCAGCACCGGGCATGAAATTCGGTTCAAGAACGGTTACTTCGGATGATCGTTCTTGAGTGAATTTTGCGGGTGGATATCGAATCGAAAGTTCCTGATTTCATATTTTTTTTATGCGCGGGGTACGAGGGGACACTCGGACGCTAGGAGACGGTGTGCCAAATTGGAAACTCCGCGGGGTGATTGTGTAAATCGTGTGCCAAACTGGGCTGTACAGCGAGCGCTAGGAAACGGTGCGAAATGGTAGAGCATAGATTATTTATTATTTATTTGTCAAGTCGCGCTCGTTAGCAAATGTGCGAACGGGGAGAAACGGGCGAATTGAATAGGAAAACGAGTGTATGGGTATGTGTAAATAGTTCTCTGTACATATGGTAGCAGCCAGCGTAATTAAGCTATCCTTAAACGATCAAGTCGAATACAATAACCAGGAATCAATTAGGTGAACGAATCGCAAGTGAATAATTGCCCCACGGCAATTGGAATTGAATGATTTATGCTATTTGACGTCAATATATTGCTGTCAATTATAGGTGAGAACAATTGTAGCGAAAAGCTAAGAATTTCATCAAAGTAGGGGTTCCAGATTGGTTGAGATTGGGACAGCTCGAATTTGGTCTGTAGAATTTATCGAAATTATACTATCAATATTCTGAAACATTCAACATGTGACTTTTTGAGTTGTAGAAAGAACGGTCCTGTGAATTTATATGTGATAACTAAATCCAACTATTTTAATATATTTTAGCATCATGAAGTATACTCAACTTGGCGTTGTTCGATTTTTACGCGATATTGAAAGCAACCACAGTAACTGATTATTCCAATCAATTGTTCCATCTTCCATGAATCTTTTTCTTTGTATTAACAATCGTTTTCTTCATTATGTCGTAGTTTGTTTTGTATTCATTTTGTTTTTCATATATCAAGTTACACAAGTATGATTCAATGATGATGATAATAGTCTACCAGTTATTGCAGCACGGAAAATAAGCCCGATAGCAGTGGGTTCCACTCACTTTTTTTTTTAATTTATTTATTTGTCAAGGCTCAAATGCAGAGCCAAATTACTTTAGATGTAATTTTAGATAATCATTTCTTACAACTAAAGTTAGTAGAATGGGGGTTGAATACTCGTGGTTTACTCGAGATTAATAATTACATTTACAGTCAGGAATCCTTATTGCTGGATTATTTATTGCCGGTATCCCTTATTGTCGGATCCTTATTGCCGGGCTATCCGCGAAAGGATACCCACAGCTTATGGGATTTTCACTAATGGGGGCTGTAGTGGATTATCTCATTTGTTTCAATACATAAAGCTATACTGTCTTCGACAAAGTTGCTGTACTGGGTTAGACCGGCTTGTTGCCATTGGATTCAGGTTAAATTGAGAAATACGCCGCTAGAGGCGCTTCACTTTTATGTTACTTATGACGGGCGCTATAATATATGGATCATATTTCCAACATAGAATATTTCGTGATCCTGGCCATATAGAAAGTTACTGTCTTCAGCAAAGTTGTTCAGGCGACCAAGTCCTTTCGGATGGTGGCCATATTAGTTCAGAACTCTCTCACTACGCAGCGCTAGTGTGCATGTGCAATTCCTATATAAACTGTATCTCGATAGCCTGGCCATATAGAAAGTTGTTGTTTTCAGCAAAGTTGTGCAGGTGATCAAGTCCTTTCGGATTATGGTCATTATAGTTCAGAATACGCTCACTACGCAGCGCTAGTGTGCAAGTGAATTTTCTGTATAAGATGTATCTCGAGAACCTGGCCATATAGAAGGTTACTGTCTTGAGCAAAGTTGTTCAGGTGACTAAGTCCTTTCGGATGATGGTCATATTATTTCAGAACTCTCACACTACGCGGCGCTAGTGTGCACATGAACTTCCTTAATATGATATGTCTCGAAAGCTTGTCCATATAACATGTTGCTGTGCAATGTGAGAACAGGAACCGGAAAAGGAATGACGTGTAGAGGCCGGAAAACGATGTCAGATGCCATTTTGGAATCCAAGATGGCGGCCATCGGGTCAAGAAAAACTGTCAAATACCCTATAATACGGGTATTTCCGGAAAGGGAACGACGGGTAGAGGCTAGAAATCGATGCCAGAGGCCATTTTGGAATCCATAATGGCGACCAACGGTTCAGGAAAAACTGTCAAATATCCTACAATGTGGGAATTTCCGAAAAGGGACGACGTGTAGAGGCCATACATAGATTCCAGACGCTATTTTGGAATCCAATATGGCGAAAACATGTTTTCCATGGTCACCATAGCCGGTCGAACTCCAGACGAAACTAGAACCGCACTACCGTTCATACTGGTTACAACGCTCAGACAGAAAAACTGTCAAATACCCTATAATACGGGTTATTTCCGGAAAGGGAACGACGTGTAGAGGCCTGAAATCGATGCCTGAGGCCATTTTGGAATCCAAGATGGCGGCCATTGGATCAAGAAAAACTGTCAAATACCCAACAACATGGGTATTTTCGGATAGGAGATGACGTGTAGAGGTCGGAAATCGATGCCAGACGTCATTTTGGAATCCAAGATGGCGGCCATCGGTTCAAGAAAAACTGTCAAATACCCTATAATACGGGTATTTCCGGAAAGGGAACGACGTGTAGAGACCAGAAATCGATGCCTGAGGCCATTTTGGAATCCATAATGGCGACCAACGGTTCAAGAAAAACTGTCAAATATCCTACAATGTGGGAATTTCCGAAAAGAGACGACGTGTAGAGGCCAGACATAGATTCCAGACGCTATTTTGGAATCCAATATGGCGAAAACATGTTTTCCATGGACATGTTTGCGACATTAATCTTTTTGCAGATGATACTGTGTTATTCATTGCAGCTAAGGATTTAGATGATGCCGTTTTACACTTGAATGAAGATTTGCGTTCTCTAAGTAGATGGTTGAAGTATAAGCAGTTAAAATTGAATACAAGTAAAACTAAATTTATGGTTATTTCGCGGAATCGAGTATATAAGAACGTCTCTGTTGTAATTGATGATGAGACTATTGATCGCGTTCGGGAGATTAAATATCTTGGCGTGATTATTGATGACACACTTAAGTTCAACTCTCACATTGACAATGTCATCAAGAAAATTGCCAAGAAGTATGGAATTCTATGTCGACTGAAAAACGATTTAACTATTGCCAGTAAAATACAGCTATACAAATCAATCATCTCTCCTCATCTTGACTTTTGGCCTTCCATTTTATTTCTGGCCAATGCAACACAAATATCGAGATTACAGCGCTTGCAGGATAAAATAATGCGTTTGATTTTGAGATGTAGTAGATTCACTTCCTCAACTTTGATGTTAGACGCCTTACAATGGTTGTCGGTGAAGCAAAGAATTGTATATTTGACTATGGTGTTCATTTTTAAAGTAGTTAACGGTTTGCTGCCTCGATATTTGTGTGATCGAATTGAAAGAGGAAGTGACTTTCATAGATATAATACTAGAAACGCGGTTGAAATAAGAACACCACATTTCTTGACTTGTGCTTCACAAAATTCATTATATTATAAAGGAATAAATGTTTTCAATTCGATGCCTAGACATATCAAACGTTCAGCAACACTTACAGAATTTAAGAGACACTGCATTTCACACGTTAAAACTGTCTTTTGAACAGTTATCCAGTGATTTTTTTTATGAATTGACAAATTATGTATCTTGACGAAGTTATCTCTAACGGATTATTTTATATGGATAGCTGTCATAACGACTTTTTAATAATTATTGTAGCACTGCAAAAACTATTTCTGTTCGCCACGAGGGTGATGATGGATTTTTTAATATATGATTTTATAGTAGATTAATTAAAAAAAAAAGTAGTCTACAAAGGTTTGAGCCTCGCACGCGTATTACGGATATAGAGGACTGAATTTAACATTTGATAAAAAAAAAAATGCAATTTTGAAGCTTATTTGGAAGATACTTTGAGTTAGTAGTAAGTTTTCTGGCATATGTCGGAAGTTCGTGAGCTTTCCTGACATTGCTGAAAATTATGATAGCATCAGATTGCGGGGTTACTAGTGTAATAGGATGCTTTGTTGATTGTTCATTAACTCTTGATTGCTTGTAATACTTATGAATATTTTAGGTGTACAAAAAGGTGAACTAAGAGGTGGACGCCTTAGCTTTTCCACATTTATAACGCTGTGAAGCAACTGTAAACTCTAGAGATAAGTTATATCTGTATCTTCAGTAACTGTAACCAGTTCGATTTTGTTTGCTGACCTAGTTAAAATGTCATATTTAATTATCTTAAAGATAAATCGTCCAGCTCAAACCTTTGTAGGAGTAAGAGGTGGGACTATCATCATCTTTCTTAAAATAGTTGTGGAAATTACGTACAAATTCAAGAAATTTCGTTCGTGGAACTTCACGGAAAATCAACGAAAAACGTAAAAGTGCAGCAAACTTTGTAGAAGTTTTGCGAATTTCGTAGCATTTTGAGGAGCTGCGTAAAACATCATCTAAGTGTAAGAAATTTAGAAAAAGTTTGGGAAATTTGTAGAAGATCTAAAAATAGTTCAATAAACTTGTAAGAACTTCAGGGATCCACTTCAGTTTAGGGAACTTCGTTGCAGTTTGTCATAGATCTTACTTCAAAAAGGCGCCATGACCTTCTTGGAGGTTTTGGGATCTTCGCTTAATTTCAAGGAACTTTCTAGATGTTAAATAATATTTGTAGATGTCTTAGGAGTCTTTCCAGAAGTGCAAAGATGTTCAGAGATCTTCGTAGAATTAAGAGTGTGTGTGTGTCATCATCTATCCTTCACCCAGCTCCCGGCGCTAGACAAGTAGAGCTGCGAATAATTTGGTCAAATCTCATGCTCCATTATGATGCCTTTTATGTTGTGAAGACTAGTTCTTCAAAAAGGGTAACTTTTGAAGCAAGACATGGTGTCCTCAACAAGTCAAGGGAGCAGGATGCACTACATATCCACAACATGTACAGCAAAACATAACATAGACGCCCTTATTCACGCTTATTACTTAGGGGTAGAAGGTCAAGAAGAGCCACCGCCGCCAACTAAAGCTTTAACCGGGTACCTGGGACTCC